TTTTAAACTGCAGGCTCAGAGGCCTGCAAGGCAGGCGGGGAACGTTGGTTTCCTCTGTCACTGAGGCAACCAAGCCTCATGTTAGTTTCAAGCTGCCTGGCTGCCAGCCGCCATCTTGGCTGACAGTTAATTTGCATATTGCCCTGATTAGCCAATGAAAAGGGTAGCGGTCGTACGCCAATTACCATGTTTCTCTTTTATTAGTGTAGATATGCATAGCCCATGGACACAGATGTAGGCCTGGGGAGTGGGGCAGGAGTGGAGAGGAGGGGGTCAAGGAGCTTATTCTTATACATGATATAAGAAAGTGGTTTTTTTATATATCCATTTATTGAAGAGACAGTCTTTACCTCATTGCATGTTCTTACCTCCTTTTTTATATTTTAATTGGCCATAAAGGTGTGGGTTTATTTCTGGGCTCTATTTTGTTCTATTGATCTGTATATCTATTTTATGCCAGTACTATGCTGTTTTGGTTCCTATGGCCTTGTAGTGTAGTTTGATATCAGGTAATGTGATTCCTCCAATTTTGTTCTTCTTTCTCAAGATTGTTGTGGCTATTTGGGGTCTTTTGGGATCCCATATAAATTTTAGGATTATTTGTGCTAGTTTTGTGAAAAATGCCATTGGTATTTTGATAGGAACTGCTTTGAATGTATAGATTGCTTTGGGTAGTATGACATTTAAATGGTACTTCTTCCTATCCATGAGCACAGTTATGCTTCCATTTATTTGTGTCTTCAATTTCTTCATTGTCTTAACAATGTTTTCCAAGTACATGGCTTTCACCTCTGTGGTAAAATTTATTTTTTGATGCAAATGTTGTGTCCTGCTTCTTTACTGAATTCATTGTCAGCTCTAACCGTGTCTCAGTGGGGTCTTCAGGGCTCGCTTTCTATAGCTGTGTCATCTGTAAATGATCGTTTCACTTTTCCAAAGCAGCAGGGCTTTACGTACCTCATCTCACTCGCCCCTTCCCCTGGCTGTGACATTGTGCCTCCAGCACAGAAGCTGGACTCAGGAGGGAAGTCAGCTTGCCCTCCAGGAGGCCCGTGGCAGAGCTGGCATTTGACCCAGGCCAGTATCACCACTGGCCCCAGCCCTGGCCAGTACCAGACAGTAACCTCCCTTTTCTGTTTCAGGCCCTGAAGCGCCAAAGCCTGTTGGGTCTTTCCTTCTTTAACAGCATCTTGGCCCATGGGGATCTGCGCAACAACAGGCTCAACCAGCTCTCTGTCAACCTGTGGCACCTGGCCCAGAGGCATGGCTATGCAGACACCAGGACCATGGTGAGACTCAAGGGGACCCCCACACCCCTGGGGCCCGGGGGGTGTGGTGAGCTACCTGAGCCTCCTGGCCAGAGCATAGTTGGTGCAGCACAGCATCGGGGCCAGGAATCCAAGAGCCCTGCTTCCCCTCCTAGAGGTGCTAGGTCCCAGATCTCTGCAGGGTCCTTTCCTTGCTTTACAAAATATAACAACATTGAAAGTTTATTCCCTCTGAATAAAAACTACACATATTAAAAGATCAGTCATTCATGTTCAAATCCAAGTGGATTTGAGGGCAGTTGGTAACCCAAGAGGTTTTATGTAAAGACTAGAGGCCTGGTACACGAAATTCATGCATGGGGGTTGGGGGGTCAGGATGGGAGGTAGTCCCTCAGCCTGCCTGCACCCTCTCGCAATCCGGGACCAATGGCTCCTAACTACTCGCCTGCCTGCCTGATCACCCTTAACCACTCGCCTGTCTGCTTGATTGCCTCTAACCACTTGCCTGCCTACCTGATCGCTTCTAACCACTGAGCCTGCCTGCCCGGTTGTCCCTAACCACCTCTGCCTGCCTGTCTGATCACTCCTAGCCACTCGCCTGCCTGCCTGATCATCCCTAACTGCCTCTGCCTGCCTGCCTGATTGCCCCTAACCACTCCCTAGGGGGTGGGGCCAGCCTGGGCAAGGGGCCATGGTGTTCTGGTCTCTGGTCGTTCCACCATTTTGGTCACTGGGCTTTTATTATATAGGATATTGCTGGTTTCTTTTCCTCCCTTGTCCTCCAAAGACTTGACCTGTCCTCTGCTAAGAAAAAATTAGAAGGTCCCAGCATGGCTGGTTTGTTGCAGCCTTGGCTCTGAGGATAGGGAATTATGAACAGAAAGATGAGTCCTTCCTTTTCTTCCCAGGTGAAAACTCTGGAGTACATCAAGAAGCGAGGGGAACAACCAGACATGACTCATCTGACTGAGCTGGCCCTTAGGCTTCCTTTGCAAACAAGGACCTGATTTTGCCCCAGAGGCTCTGGTGCCAAATCCAGAAAACACCTGCTTTTTACTTTCTTTTTACATAGACAGTTGGCTTAAGCTTTGGCCTCTACCCAGGTTATTCTGAAGAAGTGGTATTGTAAGAGCATTAAATCCCATCTTGTTCACTGAGTGGCAGGATACAAGTAACATCTTTCTTTTCGGGGGGTGGGGTGTCTTTTTTTTTTTAATTGGAAAAAGAACCTTAAAAGAGGCACTGTTTGCTCTCCCTAATTTGAGTTTGTAATTAAACGTTGCCTACAGAACCCTGGAGGATTTATAAAAGGCAGGCTCAAAAAAGATTTTTCTATCAAAAAGCAGCTCTTGATTGGATTTTGAACATGTTCTGTAATAATGGAATAAACCTCCTGAAGGGATATTTATGTTCATGGCTGTTCATTTCATTACTTCTGATTCTCTTCATCCAGAAGGAGAATGTTTCTGAACATATTGCCTAGTTTGCTGTGCAGCCATAATTCTAAATAGCATGTGATTGAATCACTAAGAGTATTAATACTGATTGGCTGTTGAAGAGAATGCATCAAAGTTGTAGATTAAAAGCACCCAAATTATTGTGCTCGGTATAGATTACATTCATCTCCACCCTGTGAAATGCATGATTACAATTCACACAGCCAACCTCAGTAAAAGTGGCTAAGATAATTTTAAAAATAAATTTATATAAACTAATGTTTTAACAGTTCACTACCAAGAACATACTGTAGATTTTTTAGCTAATAGTTGCATCTCCACCCACAAGGACTTCTGATGAGAAATGGCATCCACTAAACAGCAGGTACCAAAGAATGCCCTTCATGGAACAAAATACACAGAAATTCAGAGCATGTTGCATCGCCCAAACACCCCCAGGTGGCCTTTATTTTGCAAAATTATTTCCAATACCACTTTTACTACGATACTATTTAAATGAAAAAATTCACAAAATCACAAATTATGTGCCTAAAAAAGTTACTTCTACGTTGAGGCTGTACACTTCAAACAGAATTAATTCCGAAACCTGAGTAGGTGGATCATACATACACCAGAGCTACTGTCATGTGGCCTGGCCCAGCAAAGCTGATTTCTACACCCAAGAATATATTTTTCATTGATATTTTTTTAGAGAGTGGAAGGGACAGAGAGGGAGGGGAGGGGAGTAGGGGAGACACATAGATTGGTTGCCTTCTGCATGCTCCCAAACCGGGCCAGGGATGGAACCTAAAATCCAAGTACCTGGCCTTGACCTGAAATCAAACCCGTGACCTTTCAATGCACAGGCCGATGCTCTAACCACTTAGCGACACTGGCCAGGGCAGAGTTGTAGGGCTCCTGACCTGGCCAATGCTTGCTCACCAGAGCCCTGGCAGGCCTGCCTTACCTCTGCCCCTGCTCCTCCCGCCAGCATCCGTCCTCAATGCTCTTGGCTGGCTAGCCTGAGGAGCACCTTCCTCCATGTCAGGGGCCACAAGGTTTCCATCTTCCTCTGGAATGTTCTAGTTTCTTGATGAGCTGCCTGGAATTGCTATGGCCATCCCTCCACTGATCTGAGGAGCCACTGATGGAGCAGGGAGGAAAGAACGGTTCTCTGGTGAGATGCTGGGTCCACCCCTCTTTCAGGACTTCCTGCCATCAGAGAAGGACTCTCCTGGCCATGTAGGCCTGCCTGAATGGTGTGTGCAGGAGGCATGCAGCCAAATGATGTGAAAATGTCACATCACTTGGGTCTCTGTACCTAGGGCTCTGAGACTGGCTATGGAGTTCAGGCTGGGACATGGTCCCCACAGCGCATGAGCCACACCTGCTTGGTGGCAATTCAGATACTTAATTGCCTACAGCTACTCTGAGACAGGAAAGGAAAGTGAGCTTGTTATTCTACTTATCACTAACTCCACTTCCTGTCTGAGATTTAGACATGTAATAGACTTCTGTTCCTTTGATCGGGTCTTTTTATCCCCAGTGAGTATTCTGGGAGAAATTCCCAGAGGGGGACATCCAGAGCAGTGAATGTAGGGCTTGAGGTACAAAACTACACTTGGCACTTAGTGGCTGGGTAACCCTGGACAATATTACTTCATCCCTGAACCTCAGTTTCCTCATCTATAAGATGGGGATAAAAACAGCACCTGTTGCATAGTTAAAATTAAATACATCAATGCAAGTAAGACATACTAGTATGTGCCTGGCACATCTAAGTCTTCAACAAACAGCTGTTATTTATACACAGTGGTGTCTTCAATCAGGGACGGAGGGCTTAGCACAGAAAATAGTGGATTTTGGCCACTCGCATGTTTTCTCAGCTCCTGAACCATGTGCTGCCCCCACCCAGGCTGTCCAGCACATCCAGAGTCTTCCTTAACCTTCGCAGGAGCTGGTCAGAGGCTCTCATCTGCGTAACTGAGTAACAAAAGCAATTTTGACTCAGGAGACAAGACAGTAGAGTTTAATCTTCAAACTTGATGGACTTGGAAGCGTTCCTGTCGATATAGAAGACTTTGTTTGGGGTGGCGAGGCCAAGGCCCGTGCGCCCACCATGCTTCCGGCTCAGGGCCCGCGTGTAGTCCTGCTGCAGGCTCTGCTGCAGGCTGCTGGCCGCCATCCTGTCCAGCGCCATGTTAGGCCTCCTGGTCGTGTCAGGGGTGCAGCCAAATGAAGGTGACAGATTTTTAAAGCCGCCCATAAGTTTGAGAAATTTCAGCTTCTGTTCCTCGTTTTCAAAACCAGCAGTATCCCACTGGCCAAACTGAGTGCCCTGTGTTAAGAGAAAAAAGGTTATTTTCCTCATTTCCAAAGCCCTTTCCCTTCCTGAACCATCTCCCCAGGGAGGACCCAGCTGATTGAGTGCTTGTTCTGTACTAGACACTTGCTCCATCTGCTCTCAGGAATACTGCTGCTCCTCCCACTTCACTGATACGTTTGCAGCTTAACTAGGACACAAGCCTAATCAGTGACCCCACTAGAATCCCATCTCACGTCTGGCCAGCACCAGAGAGCACCTTTCACATGCCAAGCTGCCTGCCCACTTTACTCCTCCCCTAACTCATGGCAAATAGCTTGGCACACCTCACCTCCAGCACACCTCATCTCACCACCTGGGCACCCATCCATCCACCAGCCCAACGTTATTGTCAGAGGAGGAGGAGGAGGAGGAGGAGGAGGGCAAGTGGCAATGTGAAATGCATTTCTATTCGCAGAAGCACCAGATGTGTAGCAGAAAGGGAGTGGAGACTCGTAGAAGTAAAGGGTCACACAGCCAAGTCAGAGGCTAAGTCAGACCCTGAACTTAGGGCTCAGGATTCCTGTCCAGAGCACCCCACCACCCATGCACAAATCACCCACTTTCACCCTTCAGAGCAGTGACCTAAGAAAAGAAGCCCTTCCTTTCTGAGTCTGTGGAGAGGCAAGAACTCAGCTCCCCAAGAAAAGGACTCTGAAGCCATGTGTCCCAGAGTCAGGAAGGAAATGAACCCAGGACAGTTCTGAGGCAGGGGGTGGGGGTCTCCTCAGCTCCTCGTGCTGCCAGGAGGGGAGGGCTCAGGACACTGACGGACTACCTCAAAGCGCGCTGGCATCACACTTACTGTCCACGTCTGGGTTCCAGAGGCTTCCGTTTTGCCTGACTCACGATCAATTTCTTCCTGCAAGGCTTTTCGCCTCACCTGAGCAAGGGGGAGGAAAGACAAAAAGAAATGAGACACAAAAGTTATCCTTTCAGCTTAAAACCCAGAACAAAGGTGGGGCAGAGGGACTGGAGGGTGACAGGAGAGCATAGCTTTACTCAGCTGCAACTTGGGGAAGGCATTTGTCTGAAGGAGCTCTGAGCATCTTAAGGATTGTGATCCCTGAGCCTGAAAGCAGGCAGGCCTCACTTCTCCTTGCTGAGCCTTTCCTTAAAAATGAATTTTCAAGAGGCAGATCCAAGAAGGTGGCATAGGAGGACACTGAGCTGCCCTCTCAAGGTCACATGGGATGTACAGTACACTAGAGCAATTCCTCCTGAGAAACAGCTGAGGGCCAACTGCGCAGCTTCTGCACCGTAATCAAGAGAGACCGCAGAGAATGCTGGGAACCAAGCACGCTCTTGGGAGCTGGGGAGCTCTCCAGGACCGGAGGAATGGTGAGAGTCACTGTTTACATTTCCCCTTCACATGATAGTGGGTGGGAGCTCTATCCAGGGTCTTGAGTTTACCTGCAGGGCAAGCATAGTGCAAACCTAGCCACCCCACCTGGACTAGCGCCACCACCTGGAGATTAATCCAGCAGGCACATCAGGGTGCTGCACTTTCCCACTGGGTGTGTGCCAAGCTTGCCGCGTGGAGAGAGTACAGAGCTAGTAGGGCTGTCATGTGCATACCCAAGCAACCCTGCTGAGACCCAGCTTGTGCAGCAGACAACAAAAGCAACGGGAAGCACCTTATGGGCACCTGGATACCGAGCAGGCCACCCAGGTAACCAGGGCAAAGAGGCAGGCAAACACCAGGATGCCTCCCTCACCAGAAATCCACACCTGGCCAGCAGCACACCAGGCCCTGAGCACACCCAACCAGATCACCAGCAGCCTGCCAAACAGCCCAGCACACTGTCTACACAGAGGCCACTTTAAAAAAATGTATATGGTTTTACTGGTTTTTAGAGAGTGGGAGAGAGAGAAACATCAATGTGAGAAACATCAATCAGCTGCCTCCTACATGCCCCCTACTGGGGATCAAGCCAGCAACCCGGGCATGTGCCCTGACCAGTAATCAAACTCGTGACACTTTGGTGCATGGGACCGTGTCCAACCAACTGAATCACACTGGCCAGGGCCAGAGGCCACTTTTTCAAGATTGGGAGAAATAGCTATTTCATCTAATTCATAGGAATAAACACAGAAAGTCAGGTAAAATGGGGAGTAGGTCCTCGGGTTATGTCAGAGATCTGTTCCTACAGTGCAATGTAGTGCGGTCCAACCTACATAAGCACCTATGTCACTTACATGGAGCACATACACAGCAGTAATTAAAAGTGAAACAGTAAAAACATTTTAAAAGAAAGATAACAACTCCTGACACTTACTTATGATAAACAAATAATAAAAAACATAAAGCACGCACGTACGCCAAAATGACGGAACTTTTTTATTTAGTAAATAAACTAGAGGCCGGGTTCACAAAAATTTGTGCACTCAGGGGGGTCCCTCAGCCCGGCCTGTGCCCTCACAGTCTGGGACCACCTGCTGGCTTAGGCCCACTCCCCAGGGGAATAGGCCTAAGCTGGCAATCAGACATCCCTCTGGCAGCCCGGGACCCCTCGGGGGATGACCACCTGCTGGCTTGGGCCTGTTCCCTGGGGGGATCGG